GATTTCGCTATGACCAATGAAGTTATCGTCAGTTGGAGGCGAGGAGGAACAGGAAGAGCGGCGTGTTTGAGATAAGTGATTTCCACCAAGCACACTGCCTCTCCGTTCCGTCTCCTGACCCAAAAACTGGTGTGCTAGATTGAAAAATTGTGGATACGATGACTCGAGATTTTCCAAAATTCTTGGATAATCTCTGATAATGGAAACATCTAAGAATTTATTCTCGGGCTCTTCGAACCATGCCCCCGTGTAACAAGGATCCGAATGGTCGAATGAAACGCGTCGACGGTCTGTCAGATTGCTTTCGTGGTAGCCGTTATCGCTAGTACTTTCGAAATAGTCGTCGGGATTTTCGTCTACCTCATAATATCCAACAATTTCTTTGAATTTCACCAAGAGCGTCGGATTGGGTTCCATGTAATTGGATATCGCGGACATCCACTCTGCATCTGAAAGCACGTGGCGCGGAGAATACAATAGATCAAGAAATCGGTGCCAACCTTGCTCATCGGAGGATGGAAAGATGCTTTGCCGGACCGTATCAAAGTAATCCTGATTTCGGGCGAACAGATCTCTCATTTCTGCTTCACGGTCCACGAGGGATACCAAGATGTCAGAATTCAAATCTCGCACTGAGATGTCAATCGAGGAGTCGGTTGGGGAATTGTTGTAGAATTCATTTTGAACTGGAGGATTGATCATCCTGTAGGGCGAATCTGAAATATCGACGAATTCGTCGGTAATTAAACCGACACAGTGAGAATTATTGGCGTCATCCTTATCAGGAATCAAGAAACCGACGGAACGCTCCTTTGTCTCCTCAACCTTCAGAGTGAGGGAGGGCTTCGGTTGCCTACTAGCGGAAAGCTTAGAAGAGGGTTGATCTGAATGCACCTTAAAGGTATCCATGGAGTCGACCAGTTTCGAAATTTCTGCCGAAACGGTGGGATCACGTGATTTCGTCGTAGAATCCATTGCCTAATTAATTGAGTTGTAAGCAGTTGGGACAAATGGAGAGCGCATGTTAGTGGGTGTGCGAAGTGAAAAAAAAGAAAAAGAGATTGTGACTGAGGAGAGGGAGTGAGCGTGACCACGGGTCATTTATTGTGCGTGTTGTGTCAACCGTATATCGTGATAACAGTATTGGTGGTAATGAT